AAGGAGGTATTTTGATAGAGTCAGTATTACTCTGTACATCTTTTACATCGCTGTTATGGGTCAGAGGTGAAGACATTTGGCAGATATGGAGGACATCTGGAATTAGTGTTTTGTGTTGCATCTACTGTATAAACTTTTTGATTCGACATTTCGACAAAATATCTTCCCCTTGTAAAGCGAGCCCTTTTTGGCCTTAGTCAATGGCGTGATATCTATCTACAAGGGAGTGTGCTGGACTACGTAATCCTGAGGAAATCACATAGGAAAAGGATTATAAGGATCGAACCGAGGGAAAGAGGACATTCTGCTTAAAAGGGTGTAAATGGTGAAGGGAGAATTTTAGAACTACAAACAAATTTCTTAAACTTTTGCCGCACTCTGAGCCAATTGTCGGAATCTGCACATTGAGAGAAGGGTGTCTTCCATGCTCGTTGGAGTGCTTCAAAATCTTGGCCACTAACTTCAAGCCATTGATTTGCACTTACTCCAAAACGAGAATTGATCTCATCCGCCATTAGTCATGTGTATCACATTCTTGTTATTTTGTCTCTGCGTCATATTCTCACAATACCCAAACAGTATCTTGATCCAGGGAAAGAAACCAAAACGTATGGGACGAAAGAAAGACGATGTGCCTGAAGAGAGTAGTACTCCGAAAAAACAGGGCAAGGTGGCGGAACTAACCTTCAAATTTACCACTATTCGTCTGCGAAAATCGAAATAATGGAAGTTCAGGGGCCTTTTGATAACAAAGAAGATACCACACAAAATGAGAAGAAGAAAAAAATCGGGGGAGGTAGTATTAAGCAGTCAGCATATAAGGGTAAAGGTCCTCCACTAAATCCAGAAGTTGAAAAAGCTGTGGATAAGTTTGTAAAACACGCTACAGAATCTGGTTCGTTGGAGCTTCTTAAGGAGGATTTTGGGATATTAGTCGCGATGCACATTCAGGAATCGATGCGCTTCGTGAAGAAAGCCGTGTGGTGCTGGAATTCCAACCAGCTCCAGGTACCTGCACAAAGTTCTCTTCAATGCCGGATAAAAATCGATTTCCGGTAAATCAAGAACTCCTTACAAAGTTTTTCCGAATCCTAAAGGGAATTTTTTCTCTCAGGAAATTCAGTGCCTTGATGAAACGCGTGTAATACTTGAAGAGACTGAACCAGCAATCAACACTTACATTCATGCAAGTCGAGTGAAATTAGAGAAAGTAATTGCAAGACTTTGAGTTAGAAATCAGTTGACACACACACGTCTTCTAGTCTGATCGATCATATATCCTAACCCAAGGACCTAAAGAAAACACTATAGAAGATTTTTGGCGCATGATTTTCCAGGTTTTTAAATAAACTAGAAGACTGGAGATACTTGTCGTACAAGAAGTGTTCAGGAGCAGTGTGCTGGAGTGATTATGTTGTGTAACTACTATGAAGACGGTATGCAGAAGTGTGATGAATATTTTCCAACAGAGAATGGTGGCTATAAGTACTATGGGAAAATGTTTGTCAATAACAAAAAGGTAAGGATAGGTGAATTGTGTTATAGTTTACTTTGAGTAGGGCAGAGCAGAAGACACAGTTTTGTTACAATTAAACGAACAAGGAGGCTTTCTTGTCTCTAGATGAGCATAAACAGTTTATAGAATC